CCACAGAGGAAAAAGGGAGATTCTAGGGCAGAAGCTATAACCTGGGGTGCATGGACAGTCTAGCCATGGCTCCAATTCTATTTCCTAAGTCATATAAAGCAGTGTGTATATTTCTCATACTCAGTGTTCACCATAAGATAGGAGCAGTGTGGTGTATTTTTCATGGATTAGCATGTTTAATACTCTTCTATTTTAAAGGTAAGCAGTCACAGGTTGCAACTTACCCACAATACACAGTAAGAAAGTATTCAGAAGCAGGATCTGAAACCTACAGCACATAATTACCACATGCTATGGGCTATACTCAGCTTAAAGGTAACCAGGCTGCCTCTAGGCAAGGTCCCAAGTAAGCCAGGTTCGTTTGGAGAGTTTTTCCATTTCCTCATCCTGGGCATTGAGGGCCCACTGTCTTGTTCTCCAAGCCTTAATAAGAACAAGAAGCCAACACTGGTGATTTATACTCACAACTCAGTTACTTTAACATCACTGGGAAATTGGCTTGAGTTTGAATGTTTCTGCCTACGTACTCACTCTTATTGCTAGGTACCCTGTTCACTCTGACTGCTAGATAAATTAACAGCTGAGTTTTTTTTTTTCTTGGCACTAAAGCAGAGATGCTTCTATTTTCCCTAGTGAGTATCTATAGAGTTCCTAAATTAAGTTTATCTACATGGGTCACAGAATCATAAACATTAAGTGTTGAGGGTTGGGTGTGAATTAGTGTAAGGAGCTGAAGCACTCATTTTTCCCACAGGAAATTAGCAGCAAACAGGTCTTACAAGGTTTCAACTTCATGGTCATAATAAACTAAGACGATGCACATAGATCAGCCTACCTGTTGACATTATTAATTATGAATGAATGATTATAAAGCAATTTAATATATTCCAACCATGTACCCACAGATGAATTAAAGTGACTAGTATTTAGCATTCTAAAGAATGTCAGACCCCAAATATTTTCTGTATTTATAGGTTATGTACTTGTCATAATTGCATTGAGTATGCATGACTATTTGTGACCCAAAAGTGCCACCTAGTGATGAAATGATGACTGACTGAGTTTTCAATTTAAACCATGAGAACAAAATGTGAGCAAATGGATACATGATAAACTCCCTTTTGCTTTGAATAATCAATTTTATGAAACAATCTGAAATAAAACTAGTCACTCTAAGAACCCATGGCCTTAAGAAATCTCCATTCTCATCTGAGTCATAAATTACTTCACATACACAGTTAAGTAACATGTCCTAAGTAATAGAGAAAAGCAAGATGTCAAAGTTGTGCATATTTACTGAAACATCTGATAGAAATAACTGTCATGATTTCATAGGAGTCAGTTTATAAGCATGGAGACAATGCTTAAATAATTATATTTCTTTATATTATAAAGACTTCATTTTCATATGGCATTATTAGGAGTAAAATATTAGATATCAGGAGTAAAAAGAAGAAAGTACGTAAAAACTGACTTTGTGAGATGAAAATGAGGTAGGAAAGAAATCCAAGGCTACACAATAATAGAACTTAGATTTTTTTTCTAACACTTTTCTTTTTTTTTAAACTGCTAAGAATGCCAAAGGCAAGCACTAACAGTAGATTCTACAGACCTTACTAGCCTCCCTTTCCAGAACAGGTTTGGAGATTCAATGGTAGAAAACATTCAAACCTTTCCCCATGCACACTCTTCCCTGAGATGACCAAGGCAGACAGCCTCACAAATGTGCTCCATAAACATGAGCAGCTACAAAGGCCTAAGAACAAGGCAAGGGCGACATAGAGGAGGCTCTACCCCAGGCTTCTTTGGCCTCAGTTGAATATGGAAATGACTCAGGAAAAAGTCTTGCAAAAGGAGCAAGATAAGTGAAATTCAAGTCTGACCACAGGGAAGAGGCTACTGAGGGAGGGCTGAGACCTGAAATGGAATGACAGCTGATCAATCAGACCTTAATGCAAAGTCAGTTGGATTTCTGAGAATCAATGACAGTCCGGGGAAGACCAAGTCAGCAAGCAGGAAGAAAGGTCTTTCTTCAGTGGTAAACTGAATTGCAAACTGCATTTCTTTACTCCTGAAACAATTCTTGAGTACCTAGTGTATCCAGCTGCTGTGTTTTACAGCAGAAATGGGAGAACTGAATGTTGTTCTTTACTTAAACTGACATCATCAAACTGGAAGAAGCCATTAGAAGTAGAAAATATGCTACAACTAGCAACCATCTATTTTTTGACATATCACATTCAACAGGTTAACTGTGGAGAGGTGATTTTTAAAAGGGCTCCCCCGTTTCATAAACAAGAGTGACTAGGACTAGCAGAAGCTTGCACATAAAGCAAGTCTTCCAAGATGGCTGCCTTTGGTCTTTTCTGTCCTTGTCTGTCTTTACCATTGATTGCTCTACTGAGGAGTTCACAGCTTCTTCCCTTGAGTCAAGTCTATCAAGAATGGCTTTTATCAGTAGTATAGTGGATGCTCTGGAACCTTCAGAACCAGGGCTCAAGAAGCTTTAGCAGCTTCCATTTCCTTCCTTTTAGAACCCAACATCATGAGATAAATGCCCACTTGATACAGAAAGGCCACATGGAGAATGACTGGGCATTGCTAAGAGTCCAACTGAGTCAGCAGAAAGGGGTACTAACTACCCTGGCAGGCATAAATAAGCCACCTCAGATGATCTGGTCCAGGTGACAGTAATACATATCAAGGTACATGTAAACAAGTATGATCATTTTGACACATCAATTTGACTTCTAAAACAATCTGACAAGTATGAAAAGATATTCCTTTGTCTATAGTAGAAACCAAAATGTTAATCATTAGAAGACCAATGAAGAATAATTCCATCTTAGTCCTTCACCAATTCTTCTTCCTCTGTCCAACTCTCAGATCCTAGTACTTTTAGGTTTTGTCTTTGTTGTCTGAACCCCCTCTCCTCGTTTGTGCTCTATCTCATGACTTTATATACCAAAATCATGTTCCCATCCAGGTGTCTGCCCAAGCTCAGGATATAATCTAAGTTGCCTTTACAAGCTGGAGGTACTTGTGGTAGTTTAAAGGAGAATAACCTAGCCCTATAGGCTCATATACTTGAATGCTTGGTAGAACTGTTTCAGGGAAGGATTAGGAGGTGTGGCCTTGTTGGAGGAGGTGTGTCACGGGGTAGGCTTTGAGGTTTCCAAAGCCCAAGTCAGGCCCAATCTCTCACTCTCTCTGCCTCAAACTTGTGGATAAGATATGTGTTCAGCTACTGCTCCAGTACCACGCTTGCCTGTTGTCAAGTTTCCTGCCACAATCACTCAATAAACTCATTCTTTTATAAATTGCCACTCTTGTGACATCCTGGCAAAGCATGTGGCTTGGTAGCCTTTATCCTAAGAATCTGCCTAAGG